TAATTTTTTATCTGTGTCACAAAGCTGCAGGCATGCTGATGGTTATAGTGTATATGCAAGAGAAAACCCGACACACACTTATTCACACTGCTGGAAGAACATTAGCAATCCCTCATACACGTCATAGCCCACTACGGAGCTGGTAGTGCCAGACAACACTGCTGGGCACAAGACCACCATTGTCCCACAAGATAAAGTGCGTTTGTGACCAAGGCAAGGCGGGGAGGACCAGATGCTGTGAAAAGATAAGGGAGTGTCTAAGAACAAAGCTTTTGGTGTTGTGTTTGTTGTTTACAGTGAAGTCATCAGTCGAATGTTACTGCAGACGTCACGACTTCACTTCGCTGATGGAGCATTTTAAACTCTAGGTACATGTCGGAGTGGGTTGTCTTTCCTTTATCCTCCCCCTGCTTCACAGTTAATTGACTACAAGTGTTCATTTGCCTGCTAGGAGCAGTCATTAAGGTTGAATAACAAAATTTAGCTCGGCAATAGAACAGCCAGGGATCAATGGGTTAATTCAATTGCCCCTGCATGTGGTGTATTGTATAGTAGGACCATTTGAAGGCCTTTATATGGGAGTCATGCCGTTTTAGTGTGCTTAAAAGTGCAAAGAGATAGCATGGGTATTGGTCAATAAAGAGAGGGAAAAAACGACATAAAAAAGACCAAAGTTCAGTGTTGTGTGTTTGGTGACAACGAAACAGTCAGATACAAATAGATGACCGAGAGGCAGTCTTTCCTTCACTTGTTACAGTCAAGGAAAGTGCTGTCACTGTATACACTATAGTGACTTACAGAAGTATGTAATCTGTTTATTTTAGACTCAATTATTAAAACTACAGACTTCACTGACAACGTGACTCCAAAATTATAAAAAGAAGTCGTCACAGCCAAATCAAGTTCATAATGACTCTTTATATCATGTGGGGTGCTTTTGGATTCATCTGACCTTTTCAGAGATGAACCATATGACCAGCATTCTTTTACGCAACATTACTGCAGCTGCATCATAGTAATCCATTACTTCCTGGTCAATTTATTATGTATGTTTAGTGGGTGTGGTGGAAGTTTTCAGCAAGAGTGACCCTCTATGATGTAGAGAAGGGTTTTGAAATAATTATGCAAATAAGGGAGGGTGTCATTTTGCCAGGGGGGTAAGCATTTCTAGCTACGCCCCTGCTTTGGCCCTTTAAAGTGATTAAAACCAGCCCTTTTGGTAATGTCTGTGTTGCTTAGTGAACGAATGTCATGTCTTCATTACAAGTACATAATTGTCTACCTCTGTTTACTGAGCACTGATTACTTGAATGAACGAATAAAATCAGGTAAAAACAAAAACTGTCTACTACACAGCTATAGTCCGGTCTTATTATACAGCTCTTTTTAATTTAGCTGTAGCAAATTTAACTTACTGTCCATAGTTCATGCTGGCATTTTTAATCCTCCACTGAAACAAATTGACACTTGGGCCTGTTTACACAAGCGTTTGCCCAGTCTAACCTGAACAAATATACTGAATCAATAGAGAATTACAGGATATTTGTTTGACTGTTGAAAGGATCATTCCTCTGCCCTACATGTTGAGCATTTTATTGCCTGTGCATTAAAGGAGGCACTTATCAGCTGACAGATAACAGACAATCAGCACACTGCTGACACAATTCATAAGACCGGGTTAGCAGAAAGGATTGTCAAACAAAGGCTTCTGTCGGCAAACACGCTCTTCAGTTGAGGAGAACTGCAGGCAAAAGCTGGGAGAACCTCCAGGGAAAACAAACCTGGAGAACAAAGAAAGTGTTGCATTTGAAACAAGTTGACCACGCCTGGTTGCTCTGCTGACAGTTAGAGGGCGCGCACAAGTAACACTGACACTATTTTAACAGCCAAGACATGACTGTAGCCTTTAGGAATACTTGAAGATAAAAAATAAGATGTCTGTTGTGCTTGTTTTGGGCTCTCTCCTCAAACAACAGTGGATCACTCCTTCCAGAGCAATTAAGTCTATGACTTCTGTCCTCACACAGCACATGGCCTCTGGCAGCCTCACACACAGTTGAGATAGTATTCTCGTCCTGGAGAGAATGCAAATATTACCTGTTCAACCAGTAACCCCACTGACCATAGTTATCTAGGAAAATGAAATGCCACAGAGCCCCAGTGCACGTGTCTGAGTATGTTTCCGCATGCATATCTGTGCGCGTGTGCGTGTGTGTTAGCAGCAGTCTTTAATCTACGTCACAATTCTCTTGATGAGTCTTCCACTTCCCATTTCAAAGGAGGTTCAAACTAATTAGCTCAGGGTGCCGGTTGTCTGTCAGTCTCAGTCCCATAACAACTGCAGGTGATTGTTTAAACGTGTAAATCCTCTGAAAGGAACAAGACAGCAACTTTATATAGTACACTGTGTAATGTCTTCACCTGTCCAAGGTACATAAAGTGGAACTAACCAGAATAGTCTCAGAATGGCTTTTTCTTGTCATTACACGACAGCACCTATTATTCTGAATGTTTGTGTGAGAGCAAGCAGGAGAAAGACAAGAGGCAGAAATACAATACCTGACATGTTTCTGACAAATAGTAGGCCTATGCAATAAAAATAGTATGTTCAGAGTGTGTGACAGGAGACAAATATTATTTTACAGTATAGCAGGTCAATCCCAGAAAGTTTCTTCTGGAATGTGATTTATTTTTACTAGATTTCACCCTTTTAGTAACTGTGTACCAAAGTGTCAACATCTGTGTTCCCACTCCAGAAACCAAAGCGAGGTGTAATGAGAAAAATGGAGCGAGAACAACAAAGGCAAGAGGACAGATTGAATGAAGAGCAGCATACAAACAGGGGTTGTCACTAATAGAGAGTTTTATGAGCTCCAGACCTGCTGAAATGGAGTGCCGTGCGTGTGCAGCAGCTCTTATCGGCTCGCTGGCAGCAAGGGGAGGGTGAGAGCTTCCACACTTGCGCTCCGTAAAAATGGTCTGATTCATTTTCCGCATGAGAGGGTCTCACTGGGGCGGCATCAGACCAGCCAGTCCACACAGATTTATGGACCATTAAAGCAGCAGGCCTCCTGACTGCTGTGCCACCATAGGCTGGCTGCTAAGACACACTGCACCCTCATTCATGCTCGGCCACTACTCTCCATCACAGACGAGCTTCCTCATTGTTCATCCTTTCATCTGTACCACTTTTACTGCCTTACATGAACTCCTCTCATAGTCTGTAATCCTACTAATCTTCACCTCACTCCCTTTCATACAAAGTGATCTGTTTACTATAATTATTCTCCCCCATTGTTAAGTTTACACAGTTCTAACAAAGACTTTTTTGCTGTTCTTTCATGTCATAAAACACATCATTCCTAAAGTCCCTCATCAGCACCATGCGCCGACAACATGTTATATGGTCCAGGAAATTCTCCAATACCGCTATGAACATCTCTGATGGTGGTCAGTGGGGCATGTTGTTTTAGCCTAACAGCTTTTACAATCAGATTAGCACCACTGCAGGCACACTGACTAATGGGTCTGTCTTTTCAAGGCATCCTCAATCAACTGTTTCCCTGTGTGATTAATGCATCTCGCTCTCCTCTCTCTCATTTGCTAGCTTTGCAACTTCATCATCCCTAGGAGTGATACTGGAAGAAAAAATGGGGCAGAGTCTTCGCTGCTTGCTGGCCCTAAGAATAGCTCAGTGCGCAAGGAAATTATGCCACAGCAACCTGAGCAAAGGCTCAAAAACATGAATGAATGAATACAGTACAATGGTATCCAGAGTGCTCAGTCACCACTGCTAAATCACATGCTTCTTAGTTGGATACACGAATATTAAAACATTTAAACCCATTCTTAAGGTATTAAAGATGCACAAGTGTTTGTGTTCGCAATATACCTGCACAAACTAACACAACAAGACAACTCTCTGATGAGTACTATGCCACAGATCAACAGAAAAACTTTACATAGTATCACTCAGGAATTCACTCTGACACAAAACTGCCATTACACCACTGCAAAGCCTGTTTGTCAAGTTGGAAGAAGGGGGAAAAACAAGGGTGTGCATCAACACCAGTGCAGAAGTATTTACAGCACTGCTGCATGGCCGCCATTGGGGTTTAGACATGGTGAAAGCAAACAGAGAGGCTATTAGATCAGTCCACAGAGAGCTACTCATGTAGGCTACGCTTATGAAATGGAGTGGCTGAGATGAGTAAGGTATCACCATTATGTGAAAGTTACAGTTTGGTGTGAAGTCAGTTGGCCAGTAAAGCCGCACTCAACAGACAGCCTGGAAGAGACACAAAACCGACCTGCTGGTTCTCCTGTACGCACACTGCTGGCTCTAGTAGCACATCTGTACAGTGATGTGAATAACAGGTATGTGCAATTTGGATTCCTCACACATGCATAGAGAATGGGATTATCTGCACCTAGGAGAAGTGCATGTTTTCTTTGCATGTCTTCTCTTTGCTTTGTCTAAATGCTCAGGCATCACCCAGCATGTGTCTGTTGTGTGTATATACAGGTCACGTTAGCTCCTTGTATCATCGTTTACTCTGGGAGGGGCCCTATTGAGGGTCCACTATCGTCATGAGGCTGGGTGTGGTGACACATCCTTTCTCTCCGCCCCGAGGTGTTTGTGTAGCCTAAATAAGGCGGGAGTGTTTGTGTGGGACCCGTCCGGCTTGATCACTAACACACTTGATTCGTTTATAATTAATCCCATCACTACTTCACTACGCACCTCATTGTTCATTAGATGTGTTTAAAACACCACAGACCCCGTTTCCCTCCTCTGTGTTACGTTACATGCAGCTGGCGATAAAAGTGAAAGCACATTGCACGATGCAAAATAGGATGGCGTGCGCGTTCGCGGAGCTCCGGCGCTGCGGCAGTTGCCAGGGGAGATAGGAGGGGAGGGGTTTTGATTGGCTGAAGTGGGCCTGTTGCCATGACGACGGCGAGGGGTTTGGTAGCGTTGCCGTGCGCTGTGTGATCTGCGCGCTGCGTGTATGGAGGAAGCAGCTGCTGATCTGATCTCTGACATTGTGTGAGACAGACATCTGAATAAACTGCGCACAGACGTGTCTTTAAACATACCGCACCGAGGCACGCCGTGCATGATTGTGAGTATTTGATCGGCTTTTTTTGAATGTATCCATATTCGCGTGGTGTTTGGGGTGGATACGGTTTGTGTTGCGAACAAGCGAAAAGTAAATGTGGTCAAGTGACTTTGCTTAGAGCAGCCAGCATGGCAGAACAAGCGACAGCATGTGGCCAGCAAGCTAATGTTAACGTTACTTCTCTCTGCTATTCGGGCTCTTATTTATATAGAATGGTTATCGTTTGATATATGGAGACATAATTAGTTTAATGCCGTATACAGTTAACATGTTATGCTAACATTAGCAGTACATTTACCGTCACCAACCCACCGAGCTACTGCTAACGCTACTTTGCCTCTCACGGTTGTGCTGGCTGAGCTAACGTTGGTATCGTTACAGCTGGTGAGCCCACTCTTAATTAAAGCCCACCAAAATGTAACTAACCGGACATAAGTTACTTCGTAACGAGTCCTGTGTGTCGGGAAGTGTTGTGCAATAGTCCACGTCATTACGTGTAACTTTGTATTCCTCATTGTGTTACTGGTCGCGGTCGCTTGAGAGTGTAGTGTTTGCTCCGTGGTGATTAATGCCACCGTGTAACTAGCATTAGCTACAAAGCGTATTAGTTTTCTTTGCTAGCAACACTTTCAGTTTACCTTTTCAGATGGCTTCGACTGTGTGTGGCATTAAATGGATTTGGCTGTCGTGTAGTTCCTCAAGTTGTGACTTAGCAGGTAGCCACATTCAATTATTATTGTTGGTTTTAATTTTAGACGCCTATCTTCCCCTCATATTTAGAAATATTGAATATTTAATGGTATATATCGACGGCACCAGAGGTTGGGAGGCTACACTGGCTAGCTAAGCACATGATGTAATGGATTATCACAAGATTGTCCCAGATACAGAGTGCTCTACAAACAATGGCAGAGAGTAGAAAAATATCTCTGTTTAATCCAGTTGGATATACTTTATGTGTTGAATTGGTCCTTCATATACTTCATGTTATCCCACGTGTCTGGTATTGTCTGCCCTTGTAGGCTCTCTACCTGCTGCCTGTCAGTGCTTTATTTACTGGACTGGACTAACCTCATCTAAAATTCATTGTGTGCTCTGAGGTTTCTGTGTATATTTGGCAAAAAAAGTGATGAGAACATTTCTTTTTTCTTTGGCGAGGTTATGACATTAATGTAGACTGACGTTCCTTTCTTGTTGCTTGACAGTTGTTAAAGCCCTGGTGATAAATAGAAGACAAAGGCAACAGGAGCTTAGGGGACAGAAAAAGAAACAAGAAAGAAACAGATGTTGTCAATCTGCCATTATTTTATTTTTTTTTCAGCCAGAATTTCCACGGTCATGTTGTAGGTCAAACCATCTGTTGTCTTTGCTGTTGTTTGTTGTTCTAGCGTGTATCCGCTCCTGTACATGTTTGTATGTACAGGAGCCTCTGAAGGGTAAGGACTTTTGGCTCCCAGAATAGACGAGGGTCTGCTAACTTTACTGACATTCATTACTATAAATAAGACCTGTCGTAACCCAGTGATGTAGTTATTGCTGACGTGAATTGGCTTTAATAACTGCAGTGATCCAGTATTGTCTGTGGAGCTGAATTATCTTTCATTGTGTACCATCATAACGTTATTTGAATTGGTGGATCAGTTACCATAAAAGTCATTACTCCATGGTTTGAGCTTCCTTTCTACCTCAGTATGAGGTGAAATACAGGTGAACTAGGAGGCTGCCCAGTCTTTGAATGTTCTGGTCTTCTCTTATGGGTCTGCTCACAGTGTACAATGGTTGAAAATTTAACAAGAAGACTTGAGAATCCGATAAATGTTAGATGATAACTCGAAACAGAAATGTATAGCCTGCATGAGTCATAGTATCATTTCTGTCATATAATCCTGACATTAAACCCTGGGGCACTGGCCTGTTTGTTAAATTAATTTGATTTGATTTAGACTTTTTGTTCTTATTTTAAACCCTTTTTTTGGAGACAGTTATGCCCTGATAGTCACATACTTAAATTGTTGCTCCATGTCCATGTTTAGACCACAATACAATAGACACAGTGGTATCAAAAGTATCTCAAGCTCCTCTAGAGCTCCCATGAATGCTGCGTTTCATTTTTACAGCCTGATGAACACATTGGTGTCACTTTTCTGAGAAGTTGCTCCATTATACTGTACTGATGACAGAACAGGAAGATGCTCCTCATGATGTATGATATCAATGAAGCCATGTGACAGAAGAGATCACCATAGCACAACATTTTTATCCAGTGGAATTCTAGTGTATAAAGTTCATTTTAAATGGGAGCTATCTTGTCCTTTTCAGACATCACAACACACTGAATATAACATATTAAACATCTTAATAAGGAAATGGCATGGAACTGGATTGTAGTCCGAGTTGTTACCTCGGTCTGAGCGAGAGTGCTAAAGAATCTGCTTTTCAAAATGGTGGTGTTGCCGTGCAATCAGTCTTATCACAGAATTGTGTACTCTGACCCAGAGCAAATGAAAGGTTGCGTCCTCTAAAATCCACCATGTTCTCTGTAGGTATAGGAGTGACTGTGGTTTTAAATTCATTACGAAAGCTGTCCCGTGTGGCAGAAACTTTAGGGATTGCTTAACACAGTCTAAACCTGGTTTCTCATGGACTGGCTAAACAGAAAAGCTCCAAGCTTTATAACCCTACTGTTCTCTGAACACCCTGCAATTACCCAGTCATTTGTGACTTTGATTTTTCTGACTGTTTTAAATCGTTGTAATGGAAGAGGTTGAATAATTAGATGACTGGCAGAGTAAGGAAGTTGACGGTCTTTGTTCACTTGAAGTAACTGTATTCCCATAATTATGTTGTTGTGTGCATATTGCAGTGTTTTTACACATTCAAAGTGGAAAATGAATTAAAATAAATTAACAGCATGTTTTGTAAAGCGAGTAATAGTAGATACTCTTTGCCACTTTAGTGCAAGTAGTGTGTTTGTTGTGTTATCAGCCAACGACAGTCTTCATAGGCTGCTGTTTTATAAAAAAGAAATGTGTTGATCTCCCTCTACCTCCCATTATGAGGGGCTATTGTCAAATTGAACAACGACATATCTATCTGAGATCAGTCACCAATCAGTGAGCTCCAGCTCTAACTGCTGACGTTGGCCTGTCTGGCTCGTGGAGTTTACTGCTTCGTGCAGTTTTGTGGTGGTTGGCTTGAATAATTAAAGCTGCACATGTGTGTTTCATCACTTGCTCACAACCCCCCGTGTGTTTTGGAAGGAGGGATATCCCCAGGAGTTTGTTGTCTTGAGTCTGTGACATTTTGCTAATCAAACATAGGTGGTAGCACTGAATTTGAGATGCAAATGTAAACGCCTGTAGAAGCATGTGCTGCCTCCTTTATGTTGTTTGCCTGTCCTGTTCAGATTGTCAACTTTACAGCTGTCACCATTTTACAAACCGGGGTCAGTGGATTGTAGGTAATGTTATGACATCAACAAAAAGGCAGAACACGTTGAGATCTGGTTCTGCAAATCTAAAATTAGATTGAATGTGATTGTTGTGAGTTTCTACCTCAGTTTTTCCTCCATGCGCCTCTGTGTGTGTATGAAAGTTGCATATGGGCAATGTGTGTATTCCTGTTGTGGCGCCCCTCCGTCTACTCCAGTTATTGTTTTCCATCTCTTGATTGGTCACAGTGGTAATGCACCAACACTTTAGTGCACAGCCCCCTCCCTCTCTTCCCTGCCCCTCGCTAACCCCCTCACTGACACTGTGCCTGTCTCATTTCTGACGTGGTGGACTCAAGATGCAGCCCATTAGGGCCAGCCTCATTGAAAGCAACACCGATTTGACCGTTTTTTGACTGAGAGAAAGGAAGAGGGAAGCAAGGCTGTGTCCTGTGTCACAATGGGTCTTTGTCTCGTCACCCCTGGGTGAATTAACAGGATTTATTTAATTGATGGCAGTATGACAACAACAACGCAGGCTGACCATCTTGCATGTGAATTATCAGGATTTTCTTGGATGTGTGGAGCTGAATGGGGATTGTATTGTCATTTGACCAACATTTTGTAACCAGTGCCAACCAAGGTGCCACAGAATTTTAACAATTTAGTGTTGAGTTGTAAAACAATGCTGCCAGTAGGACAGCACCAGTAAAGGGCCGGTTAGGTGTTTTGCCAAAGTGAAACGTTAACATGAAACAGTTGCTTCATACGCCTATTTGAATGAGAGTTTTACACTGGGCTCTGTACTTGAAGCATCTCAATCCATGAACAAGCACTCAGCTCAGTTTACTAGAGCATGTCTAGAGCTTTGCTATTTTTAAAAGTCTTACATTGTCATCAGATCACCATGGTGATTTGTTGCAAAAAAACTTTGTTGAACAATTTTAAGTCCCCTTCCACTCAAAAATGTATTTTGTCTTTAACGTTTATGTCCCCTAAAATGTCTGATCTTGACCATACTGACTTGTGTCTGTGCAAAGTTTGTGACTAGAGGGGTGTTTTCACATTCTTCTACTGAAACTATGTCTGTGCACTTCCCTAAAATCTAAGATTCAAAGGTTCAACAAGCAAACTAGATTAGGTAGATAACTAATATGAAAGCCAATCGCTTTTTTAATAAAGGCATATACACAGGAACAGACTTTGACACAACACTAGCGAAAAACTTGAAACCTCCATCGCAGAGTCCGCAGAGCGGACTTGTCAATACACAGAGCAGGGTTTGTGTTAGCATAGTGAAAGTTTTGACTGCAAACATTGTAGTGTGTGTAGTTTATGGATATACATTGGGCCAATGTGAACACACTGTAACAGCGCAGCAGACATTATAGTTTGTATCACAACCACTAGTGTCAGCCATTGCCAGTTACAAGCCAACAAACAACATAAACAAATAAAGGATTCTAACTACATTTACCATTCTGATACGTTTCCGAACTTGGTGTACAACAGACTCCTCATCTGAGTCTGGGTCTGACTGAGGCTCACAATATAACAGAAGCCATGGACTTGT